AAACAATAAGCATTTGAATCCTTCAAGGTAAAAAAAAAGGCGTGCATTAAAAGAGAAAAGGAAAATAATGCGTCCTCGTGGGGGGATTGATTTAAGGAGATTAACACATGATTACTTTTATGCAGTCATTTAAATGCATTTATTGTTCATTCTAATTTACTAGGTGATCAGTATTCACTGTTTACATTAAAATCATTGCTTTAACATTGTCGAAACATTCGTTATATTCTTCTTTTTCTATGTGACGTATCTCTTCAGGAGGTTGGCGATCATGTCTCTCCACAATTTCCTGTTAATCTAACTCTACTCAATTGAATATATTGTTTTCTCTGGGTAATAATAACTCATTTTACAAACTCCCACTTTATGAATCAACATTGGGAACAAACATTTACGTAGAGGTAAATGATTGATATATATATATATATATATATATATATATATATATATATATATATATATATATATAAATATAAATATATATATATATATATATATATATATATATATATATGAAATATGATCTCTCTCTTACCCACCCTATTTTTAACAAGTCAAGTTCGAGGAATAAGATATTTTCTGGGTCACCCTGGCGACTGGCTTAACTACTTTCTTTCCATCTCTCACTCTCTTTCTCTTTCCCCTCCCCATGTTTATCTCTCTTTTTCTTCCTACTAAAAAAACCTCATATTGATATCTCTGTCTTTCTCCCTTTTTTCTTTCCCCCTTTTAATGTTAAAGCTTTTATTCCTTTTCCTTTCTCTCTTTTTCTTTTTCTTCTTTTTGCTTTTCCTTGTGTTTGAATAAATTGAACTCGATTTATTTTTGTAAAATTTGGTTTGAAATGATTCATCACCTGACCGAATTGATTTTTAAGGATTCAGTATTTATTATTATATTGCTCTGTTCGTACATTGAGCTCTCTTTGGATTTATATCATCGGAATTATCACTACTAATCATTTAGTAATGTTATATATATATATATATAATTATAATTTTGAAGAATCAAGGAATTTCTTATACTACATTAATTCAAAAGGTTACTTTGTAGATACTCACGTCTGAGTAGACGCCCTGTATTCATAAAGAGTGTAAATTACGTTTTCCGGCTTGCGCATTTAAAGGAATTAACAAAGAAGGTGTGCACTTCGGTAAGGTTCGAACTTGCTTCTCTCTTTAAAGGAGAAATCATCGTCTGATCTGGCGGGCCTTGTGACAGAGAAGATCAAATGCTAAATTCGTAGGCACGATGCTACTCAAAGCTTCATGCGCGAGGTAGTCAACAAGCTAAAACTTGAAATTGTCGGCAAATAAAGGGCAGACAATTTCGAGTTGATACCTGATCATTGCCTCGCTTATGAAACTTAGCAGCGTGTGGTAATGAACAAATTCTTTTTTATTTATATCATTGTCCTGTTGTATTCCATGGAACACTATCTCGCAGGGATTTTTTTTTATATATTTGGGTGTAAGTTGTTGAAAAAAGACCCTAGTTCTTCATGTTTTGCTGAACGCTTTCGGTTGTCGTCAATCGTCATCACGGCTGTATGTTTTGGTTTGAAGTAGGTTGTATATTTTTCATTTTTATAGGTAACATTTTGGGTATTTAGGCAGTGTTATTGGATTAGTTAGTTCATTAGCAATTGGAAGTTCATATTTATTATTATATTTTTTCAGCAACTTAAACGGAAATATATAAAAAAAATTTTTTAAAAACTTACGTGAAAGCAAGAAAAAACAGAAAAAAATGTTTATTAAACGGAAAAGTTCCGTAGTCTTTAACATCACATGCCTCAATAATATATATATATATATATATATATATATATATATATATATATATATATGACAATAGGACAACTGTCGTAGTTGCTGATGCGTTTCGTCCAATGCAACTACGACAGTTTTCCTATTGTCATTTATATTTAAAACTAGCAGCATGGCCCGGCGTTGCCCGTGCTTGATTCAAAAATCGTAATACTCATACAGCAATCGCTATCACTTGACTTAAAATATTTTTGCCCTTCCTTGCCTTTAAAGGAGTGCCCTTTGCCGTGCTGATGTTGCTACATGCCTTACTTCTTGCCTATCTCACACTGCGAATTTTTTCTAAGCTCTATACTAAACATTAAATCTGTTACGAAAAAAGAACTAAACAAAATGAACACAAAACGATCAGCTTTAAAAAAGGACTCGTAACTGGAAAAACCGAATCAAAAAGAATGTTAACAAATACTTGTTCATACCCAACCCAGCTCTGCGGAATCAGAATCAACGGTGAGTTTAAGCAAGCGAATGAGCCAACTGGAGTAAAGTGTCATGTAGATTTAAATTTTTCTCACTTGTGACGAATGCAGCTAGCGATTATTATTTTTTTTTTTTTTTTGCATGCTAGCATGCTAGTTAACATTCGTGTCAGTCAGCTGTTGGCTCTCACGCTGGCCAATAGAATCTTCCTGCCTATTCGTGGCAGTCAGCTATGGGCTCTCAAACTACAT